ATGCCTATAGCAAGATGGAACCAATACCTAATATATTATTATCCGGAATGGCATGCTGGAACCAATACCCGCGGATATGCATGATGGAATCAATATCTCCATACGCATGCTGGAACCAATATGCCTATAAGCAAGATGGAACCAATACCTAATATATTATTATCCGGAATGGCATGCTGGAACCAATACCCGCGGATGTGCATGATGGAATCAAGATCTCCATACGCATGCTGGAACCAATATGCCTATAAGCAAGATGGAACCAATACCTAATATATATTATCCGGAATGGCATGCTGGAACCAATACCCGCGGATATGCATGATGGAATCAATATCTCCATACGCATGCTGGAACCAATATCTCTATAAGCAAGATGGAACCAGTGTCCAGAAAGCAAGATGGAACCAATATCAGCGGATATGTATGATGGAACCAATACATTTATGGAAACAACATTGTCGAATATGTATGATGGAACCAATACTTAATATTGCATAAAGCGAGATGGAACCAACACGCTCGGATATGCATGATGGAATCAATATCCTCATATGTATGATGGAAACAATATGAGTTAATATGTATGATGGAACCAATATCGAGAGAGCGATGGAACCGTACCATGTCATGAACTTAGACTTCATGCATATTCATGAATAACGATTGGTTCCATCATAGCATTTCATACCCTACTTGTTTCCATCATAGTATATATACACCCTTATTGGTTCCAACATAGCAATTTCCCTAAACAATACTTACCTACTTATTTCGAGTGGGCCAGCCTCTGGCCGGCCTAGGCGCACGTTGTCTGCCACACTACGTGCCACACTGCCCGCGGCCAACGGCGAGGCCGATACCCCAGGCTGACGACGTCCCGCTACGACGTCCCCATGCATGTGGGTCCGCATGCTGGGTTCAGATCTGCGTTGCTCTACCTTGGTTGGTTGGCGGGGACGATGGGCACGCTCGCGAGCGCTGCTCGCGAGTCGCTCTCGCGAGTCATCTCTGCGGGCCCTTTTAGTAACTCTGAAGTTTAATATTAGGCTGAGTCTTGCATCTTAAGTTTTCTGCCGTTTCTGGTCGTGGATTACAATATCTTCGTTGTCAACACTATCAGCCTGCTTTTGCGAGGACTGCTGGCTGCTGAACCATGGCATCAGTAATGCTGCTGCAGCAGATGGTCTTTCATTTGCATCGATGGCTGTCAATCGACGAATAACGTCTTTGGCACCTTCACTAATATCCTGCCATACACCCTCACTGAACGAACATGTCGTCCACTTATTTTCAACTTTGGAATTTGCTGGTTGTGTTCCAGACAACAGAACAAATAGAACGACGCCTAAACTCCAAATGTCGGCTGCAGCCCCATCATAACCACCAGTTGCTAGATTATCTTCGTTCTGGCGTTCCATGACTTCTGGTGCAAGGTACCTGGCTCTTTTAATAATGCATTCGACAAGAAGTCACACGACACTTACTGAGGCGTGCCACAGAAAGTTCTACATCCATGAGGCCCAACCTATGCAGACAATCATTTGAGGAAGGTTGTACGAAATTGGCGCCGAATATCCATCAGGGGATTTGTATATTCAGAAACTGCAGTGCCTTTGGCCAAGCCAAAATCAGTGAGAAGAACATCTACATCTGAGTCTACTGTACGAAGCAGTATGTTCTCTGGCTTAATGTCACGATGAGCAATGCCGCGGGCATGGAGGTATGCTAGAGCTGAAAGCAGGTGGCTCATCACGTCACGTGCATCTCGTTCGCGATATCGCTTTCGCTTTACAATGCGATCGAAGAGATCACCGCCTTCAACAAGTTGCATGACGATAGCAAACGATGCATCTTCGCTGTACGCATCACGAACTGTGACGATTGCAGGATGTGACACATTACGCAGCATACGGGCCTCTTGTAGTAAATCATTGGCCGAAAAGGAACGTTCAAACGCAAATTGCCGCGTCGGGATTATTTTGGCAGCAAAAGCCTTATCTGTGCTTCGTTCGATGGCACGATAGACCTTGCCAATGGAGCCGCTCCCAAGTTCTTCTCGTAGCTCATAGTCATTCTCGAGGTGTCTGTTCGTGGACGAA